TCCTGCTCGGATCGACACTCTCCGTGCCATGCCTTACCCCACAACAGCGGGTGAACTACAACAATTTGTCTGTGCTATTAACTGGATGAGGGAGAGTATAGTGGATTTCGCTCGTCAAGTGGCTCCTCTTCAACGTCGACTTGATGCTGCTCTTGCGGACACAAAACGAACGAAGCGAGCTGCGGCTGGGATCAAGATCGAGTTGACGCAGGAAGAACGGACTGCCTATGATGAAGTGAAGGAGATGTTAGCGACAGCAGCGACCCTTGCATTCAGCAACGATAGTGCTACTACCTGTCTCTTCACTGATGCCAGCGACGTAGGCTGGGCAGAGATTGTAACCCAAGTGGAGAACTTTGACCCGAAGATTCCTGTGACGCAGCAGCAGCACAAGTTGTTAACGTGCATGAGTGGTACATTTACGGGCAGTCAGCTTAACTGGACTGTAATTGAGAAGGAGGCCCTGCCTATAGTCACTGCCTGTGAGAAGCTTGACTACCTTCTTCTCAGACCCAAGCCTTTTCGTATGTTCTGTGACCATCGGAACCTGGTGCACGTGTTCGCGCCGGACGAAAGCGTCAAGAAGCATGTGAAGGGCAAGTTGTTACGATGGTCAATGAAGCTCATGGGGTTTAAGTATATCGTGGACCACGTACCAGGACCGGACAACGTTTGGGCCGACATGGCTTCAAGGTGGGCTGGTAATCACGTTCCTCAGGTCACTGTGAAGCGGCTCAAGGCAATCCGACGCCGGAAACCGACCAGACGTACTGAGCTCCGCCCACTCGATGCTGACAGTTTTGTGTGGCCTACTTTTGCTGAGATCCGTGAGACACAGACCAAGTACTCGTCGCCAACAGCTGCTGTACGCTCGGATGACGGCGTTCTCACTGTGGACAACCGTATCTGGGTGCCTGCAGAAGCAACTGATCTCGTCCAGAGGCTGTGTATTGTGGCTCACTGTGGAGCTCAAGGGCATCGAGGCCAACAGGCTATGGTAGCTCACCTCCAACGTCTATTCTGGATCGACCACCTTCGGAAAGCAGTGGCGTCGTTTGTGAATGATTGTTTGATGTGTCTGCATTCTCGTGGGGGGAAAATTATCCCGAGACCGTGGGGAGAGCTGATAGACTGCAGACAGCGCAACAAGGTTCTACACTTTGACTTCCTTTATCTGGGCCCAAGCTACGGATCGAGCAACTACCTGCTGGCTCTAAAGGACCATGCAACACACTATTGTGAGCTTGTGGTAGCTGACTCAGCTGAGAGCCCTGTAGTTGTGGAAGCTTTGCTCGCGTGGCATTCTCGTTTTGGTGTACCGCCTTCGTGGGTATCAGATCAAGGCTCGCACTTTAAGAATGAAGTCATTGCCGAGCTGAGTCGACGACTCCGAACACAGCAGTCATTTACTCCAGCGTATAGTCCATGGGTGAATGGATCGATTGAGCGCATCAACCGTGACGTGCTTCAGGTCATTCGTGCCATGATTTTGGAGTACAAGATAAGTCAGAAGGACTGGGTGTACCTTGTACCGCTGGTACAGTCAAGTCTAAATCACACTGCAATTCCTTCACTGGGCAATCACTCACCATTGGAGTTGTTCACGGGTTTGGAATGCCCGACGCCGTTGAGCGAGTTCTACCTCTCTGATGATCGCCGGCTACAGACCGTCCCTGCAAGCTCTGAGATCGAGGGCTACTTAGCCGATCTGCGTGGAAGTATCCAAGCAATGCATTGTGCGGTGGAAAACAAAAAGCAGAAGCAGAGATTACTGAACAAAAAACGTGAACGTGGCGACAATTTGGTGAACTTTACCGTGGGAGATTATGTTCTTCGTTCCCGAGTGGACGAGAAACACGGTAACAAGTTGCAGGTAATGTGGATTGGCCCGTATCGAGTCACGCGAGCCGACACACACTCATTTCGAGTGCAGCACCTTGTGACCGGCGACGAGCAGGACGTGCACGCATCGAGACTGAAGTTCTACTCCGATGATAGCCTGGACGTGACAGACGAGCTTTTGGAGCACGTGTCCTCGCAAGGCATCATTCTGGCCGTCGAGCAGCTAAAGGAGCACAAGTGGAACAGTGATATCAATGACTTTGAGATTCTGATCAGCTGGAAAGGTCTACAATCTATTGAGGACTCGTTCGAACCCATGAGCGACCTGGCTAAGGAGATCAGAGTGTTGGTAGATAATTATGTGACGAGCGCCGATGACCAGCGGCTCCGTGAGCACTGGCAGAGGCTTCAAGGAGACCACAGGCATGGGACCGTGCAGGACATGCAATCGCGTGTGGAATCCGAAACAATGTCGTCGACTGGTGATCTGCGCGGGCCTCAGAGTAACGCCGGGCAAGTGCAGCCTCGCCATACTGGACGAAAGCGACGACGTCGCCGAACTGCAAGCAGGAGCGAGCGGGGAAGCAACGTGTCGGCTGAAGAAGATCTTCACGCCGAACTCCAATCAAATTCGGGGCAGACTGCGGATGGAGATAGTGAGCAGCACCTGGGTGCCGAGGCCGAGCCTCCACTTCTTCGAGGTCGCCGAACAAGAGCTGTAACACGGGATGGGACGCCGTCATGTGTACAGCCACGCCGTTCACAGCGCCGCCGTAAGGACCGAGGCCAGGGTAACTAATTGCTCGGTGAGCAGTAGTTGCGGCGGAGATCGGTGCGATGTGAACAGGTAAAACCAAGCTTCGGGGGCTGTGTAGTGTGTGCTGGGGTTTCACCTTGGTTTCACCTGCAGCTGGACTCGGGCTGGGGTTTCTTCACCCGGATGTGGCTGCTCTTGCAGTCAAT